GAAGTGTCCTGAGTCCCGCACTGTTCTGGTGTCAGTGGAGGTTCCTGCTGTCGTGCAGATGTGACCTTTTTCACCCTGGATTTTTTTAATAAGAAACTGGAAAAAGGTCCTGAAATGTTACAGTCCCACCACTGGGTGGCGCAGTGGCTTGGCTGGCCGAGTCCTGTAAACCTGCTGCAATGTTGTAGTTCTGCCACTAGATGGCGCTGCCGCCTGACCAACTGAGGTCGAGACTGTACTGTGCCCTCCAATTTGCACTTCTGATAAACATTAGAGCATTTCTTCTAATAACTGATTTGCAATCCCTGCAGTTGGTGAAACTGACTCTTGTGGTAATAACTGTTCTATTCTGGCAATGTCTGAAGCTGACAGGGATTGGCTGTGGGCTTGGGCTAGCTGTTGCCATGGGAACTGCAACGGAACCGTGGCCTGAGGGATGTTCACATCCTGGCCACGCCCCGTCCCTGCTGCGTCATCCTGGGGGTGTGGACACTTCTGCTCCGACACCGGCCATGCTTTCGCCTAGCTCCCGCCCGCACTGCCTCTGATTCAGAGCCACTGTCATCTCCCCCCGAGACTGATATAATCACTCTCCTGATCCCATTCCGGCCCTGATATCTGCGCCTTGCTTTGCCCCTCTCCTGGCTCTTTGCCAGCACCTGCAGCCCGTGCGCGCTGGCTCTGCCCTGCCTGCACCCGTGCCACGCATTCAAGATGCGAAAAATCCCCTCCTCCTGCAACTTTTGGGTTCCGCTCTACCATCACGCGCATGCCCTCTGCCAGAGCTGCAGCAAGGGAAGCGTCCCGCTGTCCCTCTGCTGCTCCCCCGGCAGACGCGGCTGCCGCGGTCAGGGAGCTAACTTCCCACGCCCTTTGGGTGGCCACCTCTGCGGCCTCACGGATTCTCGACACCGAACGCATCACCGGGCGCTCTGAGCGTACCACCACCGTGCTCGCACCCCCCGCTTTCGCCCCGGTCCGTCCCGCCCCCGCCGCTCTCCTCGGCTTTGCTTTCTGCACGGGCTGTTTTGAACTCTCAGACTGCGCAGATGTGGAGGCGCTTTCCTCTCCCTCTTCCCCCTGCTCTGCACTCATGTTCGCACCCTCCCCCACTGGAGCAGCTGCTGTAGCCACCGCCTCCCCCACCGTGGGTTTGGACTTGGGCAATGCCCTTTCCCTACTGAGGGCTGTGGCTGTGCCTGGCTTATCTGCCTCCATCTGGGGAGTTTCTGCATCAGAGGAGCTTAGGGATTCTCAGAAGTCTGAGGAACAGTGGGAGCCCGCGGACACAGGAGGTGAAGGGGTATCATCTCCCTGATTCTCCACAGGAAGCAATCCTGCCTGCCCTGTGTCTGTGGTGAGAGGGGATGTCCCAAGCGGCTGGACTGTCGCCTCTCCTGTTTTTCCCCAGGAGCCTTAGCTGCCCGGCTTGAACTGCCGCATTGTGAAACTGGCTCTAAAACAGTTCTTGGTGAAGGTAAAAGTTTTGCGGCAAGCTTATCTTTCTTTATAGCTTGATAATATAATTGCGTATTAATTTCCTGCCAAAAATTTGGCTCAAACAACAGATTTGGGTCTGAGTGCGGAAAATTACACCGCACCCACAATAGCAAAGCTTTCAGCTCCTTTTGAGCAATCCCTAATGGATGGGCAGAGATGATGCTCTGCAAGGCAGATACAATTTGAGTTTCCTCTTGGGAGAATTCCCCACCCATGTTCTTAAGTTTGACCTTTCTCAGCAAAAGCTGAGTCAGTCCGAGGTCAGTCCGGAGATGGCACTATTCACCGTCCAGCAGGTCACAAGTGAGAGATCCCAGGCGCGCTTCTGGGTCCTCTCCTCCCTGGAAAGTCCCCGAGATGAGTTGTCTTGGTGAAGGTCAAGTTGTTGTGTCATTTGTGTTATAGATGAAAAATTTAATGTCTAATCTTCTGCCTGTTTTATCTCCTCACAGTTCGGAAATCCCTTGTTAATTACCCCATTTATACATCCACCCCTATGCCCAAACTGTATTCCCCTAGTTAACTCCCTAAGTCTCTGTACCCCTCCTGTTATAAGTATTTTGTTAAAAATCCCCTTATGAAGACCTTCTACTTACCGGGTGTGTTGTTGTTGGAAGTTTAAAAGCATTTTCTGACCCCTTGTCCCACTGCGTCGGGTAGTTCCAAAGCCGCTCCCAGAAAACCACTCCCAGAGGAGGCCTCCGATTTCCCAGAGGGCCAAGCGAGCGTTGACTAATAATTATCAGACTGCTACGCACAACAGAATGGACTCTGACAACGAGCCAAGGACAAAGAGGACCAAATAATCTACACGCACCTGTAGAGAAACCTTCAGAGAACTAGAGAGGACTCTTAAGAACTCTGAAGGTGATCGCCATAACCTTAAGAGAGCAAGAGTACAAAGAGACCCCTAGACCAGCAAGCTACGAACGAGTCTCGGGACGTATCCCGTGAGGGCGCAGACTCCGACCCTGCCGGAATCGACAGGCTCGCTGACCCCTCCTCTGGGACGTCGACTCGTCTGGGAGCAGCGGCGGCGTCGCGAACCCCGCACCCCCACCCCCATAGGCTTTCCTATTAAATAAAGGCCTGTCAAGAGAGGAGCACAAGGTCTCCTGGCCCTTATTTTTAACAATTTGCTTTCCGCTCCCTCTCTTCCTGGAATCTGTGTAGAGTGTGTGTGCTCTCTTTTTTTTTTTTTTTTTTTCTGATGAAGGTTGGAGGTTGTTTGATGTTTTGGCTTCTTGTTCTTTTTGTTGTTGTGCCCACCCAGGGACGCTAGGTGCTGGAACCCCCGGCCTGGTTCAGGGGTTCCATGTGGTGGTAAAGTCTCTCCTCCAACCCATGATTCCAAAGAAAAACTGCAGCCTCTTATTGTTTGGTCTCAAGGCAGTTTATTGCTAATTATCTAAAAGATTGTTTTCGTGGGCTGTAGCTGTTTGGTCAGCAGCCCAGGCAGGAGGCACACACACTCCTGACACCCTCTCTATCTGCTGTCTTCTTCTTCTCTCTCCCCACCCAGGGCTGCTGCTATCTTTTATATGATATATTACGTGTTCCATGTTTATAGTTTTCCCCCAATACCTACTACCTATGTTAAAAGGTGCTTTTCTACTCTAAACCAATCCATAAGTGCCAGCATCACCAAGAACATGGAGGCAAGGAAGAAGAAGGAGGAAGAACAGGATCAGCCCACTTTCCTCCATCTTAGAACTTCTGACCCCCATGTACAAAGTAAAAACCCCCCTGGACAGGTGCTAAACCCCCCTCTGTAAAATACTAAAAAATTTTCCCCTCTACTTTGTAACTGCTTCTACTATACTATCTAACCCTTTGTGACTGCTTGCTCCACCTCCAAAGTTGGTAACTCATTCCATGGCTCAAACTCAAAATCACAGCTGTTTCCAGCTGCCTGCCAGGGTCTAAAATGCTTCTGACCAAGGCCTGGAACCTCCAAGAATGTCTGAGGAACATTTTGAGTTCCAACACTGGCCGAGCCACATCTTTTTACGTGTAAATTGGGTTTCAACATACACCAGGTTTCGCCTGCGAGGGTTGGGGGAAGTCCTAATACAAACATGTATACTCCAACAAATATTCAATATCACATATATCATGGTAGAAATGGCGCAAATTATATCTACTGCATATAACAGGAGTGAGCAGCAAATGCCAAGACCAGGACTAGAGGGCCCCTGGCTTCTGCCAGGTAGGCCAAAGGGACACTGGGATCCCTTGGACTGTGTGGATCCATGGCCTGGCATAGCAGAGCCACAGGAGCTCATGGCTTTCGGTGACCCAGGGCACAATGTCCCCTGTTGCCATCGAGATCTGTAGGGGTAGAATCCATCTCTATTCCTGTGGTGAAGGGGGATCCTAACAGGGACTGAGCTGGGAGATGAAGTGACCCTGACTGGGAATGGCCAAAACAGGCCCTTGAGACTGGACATGAGGCCCCAGGAATCCTTAGCACAGATTCTCTTGAAATACAGATTTTTGGAGTTCACTTAAGTTAACAAAATGAATGAAGCATTTATATGTTAGTTGTAGGGTTATGTGTTGAATTTTAACCTTTTACTTAAGAAACCTCTGCCATGGTACAAAGGGCATAAGAAAATGCAAATTTCTGAAGCATCTTGCATAAAGAGCAATACCTAGGGATGCAAAGAACCCAGATAAAGATAAACAAGCTCCTCTGTCTCCAATCCTACCAAGACTGACAGACGTACACAGATAAGCACCAAAGGACAAAAAGTGCACATGCAGAGAGGAAAAGTTCAAAAGTTCAGTCATGAGGAAGACCAAAATCTTCAGCTTCAGAAGACCCCCGTATGACCACCACAGCAAACCATATGTGCCCAGAAGGGTGTGGACCTATTTAGCATGAGACGCAAGGGCAGGCAGTACCAGGGCAACATTGAATAAACCTAGAAAAGTTGTGCAATGTATTGCATATGGAAAACCTTGGGAATAAAGGTGTGGGTCAGACTGAGGCTCCAGGCACAAGTTTTCAGAGAGATATCTCACTTGTGCCGAGTGCTGACAATACATACTCACTTCATAAATACCCCAGGTTGTGGAATCTATTTATTTATTCCATGTATCGCTTCACACTCAGGAGAGGAAATTTCAGGGAGCCCAAACGGCATCATGGGGCTTTGGTAGAGCTGCTGTGGGGACAGAAGGAATTCAACTGCCATGGCCTGATCCCGACTGTCCTGGAAAAGGTGGAAGCTCCGGAACCCCCACAGGGCCTTTGTGACATCCTCAGGGCTTTCCCTGGAAATCGTTCCTTTTGTGACCCTTTGGATTCTGAACCTTGTTGCTGTTGCTGTTGGTTTTATTCTCTCTTGTTGCTGTTTCAGGAAATTGTTCTTCTCTCTGCCCTGTGGGATCTTTGTGCCTCCACAAGGAGGGAGAGTGGCTGTTTTTAGTGGCAGCACCCACAGGTGTGGGTGCCCATGGGTGGGACCCCCAGTGCCCACCAGTTCCCCCCGGTGTCACAGCACACTCCCGTAGATGTCACCGGGTTCCCCAGGTCACTCGTGGGGTCCCCGCAGCTCCGCATAGGTCACCTGGGGATCCTGGAGCGTGGTGGCATGGGGGGACGCTGCAAGAGACACAGGCTGTGACATCTGGGTGGGGTGACACTTGTGGGTGACATGTCCCTGTGCGTGTGTCCCCCCCCGTACTCACCTCCTGCCCTCTCGGGGGTCACAATTTGGGTGTACAGCACCTCCCCCTCCTCTGGGCAGGCCGGGGGAACAGAGGGGGCGCTGAAGGAATAAAGGGGATGTGTGGGAAGGGATGGAGAGTTTTGGGGTTGGGCTAAAAGGGGACTCATGGCTGGAGACCACCACTCACCTTTCTTGGTGCTTCCTGGTGGCTGCAGAGGAAAGAGGGGAGGGGTCACTGTGGGGTCCCAGAGCCCTGATCCCTCTCAGGATTCCTGAACCTCCATGAAACCCTCAATTCCCCTCAGGAACCCTGAGCATCCCTGGAGCCCCCCAGAAATCATGAACACCCACAGTGCCCCCAAAAAACTCAGCCTCAACAACCCAAAACTCAGCAGGGACAGAGACCCCCTCAAACCACCCCAAAGGCCCCTGAAAGAAGCCCCAACATCCCTGCAGGACCCTTCAGCACCTCCCCAAACCCTACAGGATCCCCAGCCAAGGTAACAGTTCAGGGGTTCCCTATCGTTCCCAAATTTTGGTGGCCTCTACAGCTCCCTGGGATCCCCGTCACCCCATTGTCACCCACCCACACGGTGCCACCGGTGCCAGGCCACAATGACACCCACGAGCAGGACCAGGAACAAAAGGGCGCCACCGACCCCTGCGGCCACTGCAAGAAACAGAGGGGGACACATCAGGATCACCCATCACCCCAGGGGTGCTGCACTCCCTGGTGACCCTGTGTGACCCCACCTGTGTTCCTGTGTCCCCATGGTGTCACCTCCAGGGCCAGCTCTGGGCTGAGTGCATGGAACACACGGTGCCCATCCTGTCCCAGCTGGTTGGTGGCCACACACTGGTAGGTGCCCGAATGTGCCACCTCGACGTCCTCAAACTCCAGGAGGGGACCCCGGGCCACCTTTGTCCCGTTGTGCAGCCAGGTGAAGGTGACAGGGGCTGAGCCCACCTGCACCGAGCAGCGCAGGGTCACGGGATCACCTGTGCGCACCTGGT